AAAGGGTTTTGATATTTAAAAAAGAAAATGATCTAAATAATTCATAAATTAATTTAAAAGGATTAAATACTATAAAAAAATCAAGATTTTTAGCTACATTTTTACTAGCTTGAATTGCTGCCAACTTCCTGTGCAGCATTCTGCATTTAAGGCCAATAAATGAAGTTTTTCTGAATGAATAAGTCACTCTCAAAGTGTTTTTCTTCCTTTTAAAGAGAACAAATCTACAAAGAAAAAAAAACAAACAAAAGTGCTCAATTAAAAAAGCACAGCACCAACTCCAACTAGTTCATCTCCTGTGAGAACTGGGACAGTATGTACAGTAAATGCTTTCAACTTTCAGGAAATTCTCCAATTACCTCTCCTGACCACTTGGGGCCACCAAAGTGTGAAATTACCTAGTAGATGATTAATATAAGCAGCTTGATGGAAACCTTTATTAAAAGAGGTTTTATACTTGAAGCACTATGTGTGTGTGTGTAGGGGTGTGTGTGTGTGTGTGTTTTTCCGGATAGGAAGACTCCTCCCAGTGGAAATTAGACCACTCAGTGTGATAGACTTCATGCTTCACTTCAGAAGCATTTGCATCTCCACCAGTTCAGTTTTTAAAGGTTCTATTTTAGAGCACAGTACAGTAACCATGTTAACTTCAGTTGTTATAAAATTGCTATATATATATATATATATATATATATATATATATATATAATGACTTAGAAGAAATTTTACTTCCTATTTAACACCTTGAAATTGGGCCTTTGTCTCTTTAAGAAACTCCTGCTCTTTCTGAAACTCCGCCTTCAGGAAGTCATCACAACGTGGCTCCTCTATTAACCCGTTAATGTTTTAACCAGCGTTGCTCTGAGAAATAACTCGTATAATGAGCTCAAATGGTTCAGTTCCACCAGGTGTTTGCCAATTGCTGCTGGCTAGTCTGAAAGAGCTGAGTGGGGGAGAGCTGCTCTGTGAGGAGGAAGCTCTGAAACTTCAGAAGCTGCAGTTCAGAGGAGGAGCTTTGTGGTCAAAGGCGGAGCAAGGTCACCCAGGCATTTTGCACAGCTGACTGGTTGCCATGGAGATTAAGGGATTTTTTTTTTTTTCAAACGTACATGAAAGAATCTAAAAAAAAAGTTGATTTTACAAAACACTGCCCCTTTAATGCTCCATCACGACGACAGCAGCTCCTTTCCATTCAACATCTGTCAATATTCCAGGTTCTCCATGTGCACAATTAAAACAAAACGCAACAGCAGAAACATGTGTTTACTGTATGGTGGTAACATCCACCTTACTTTTTAGATTTTCACCAGTGGGAACTCGGTGCATACCTCACATTTTTCCCCTACTCTTGCTGTAACTTTGGGCTTCTCTGCACCGTTTTTCTCCGCCATCTCTGCCTCGTTCGTCTCCTCCGGCAGAGACACCACCACTCGATCTTTTTCTCCAGGAACGAGCACCTTCACCCCCCGTTGGGCCAACACGTCTCGAGCAAACTCCGTGATCACGGCACATCTTGGAAAAAAAAAAAAAAACAAAACTATATAAGCGGAACCAAGTAGCATAAACGCCTTTGTTTTGAATACTTTCCACATGTTTTGTTCCAACACTGAAGTTGCCTTACGTTAAATCTCTGTTAAACTCCTGGACCGGGTTGTAAAACACCTCATTGGCGTTGGGAAACAAGATGGCCGCCTTCCCCTCCTTCACAACGGTCTCTCCAGGTAACAGCTTGGCGGTGGGCGGTTCCTCTGAAACGTGCGTCGAATCAGAACTAACCTCGGACGAGGGGTCAGCGGCGGAGACCTGGGGGTCCATAGAGCTCCGTCTTCTCCGACACGTCTGATTGGCTGAATACGAGGGGGAAGGATGGAGCCGACTGGAGGTGATGAGAAGGAGCCGCCGGGCCGTACGCGCCAGCATGAGACGCAGCCTGCAAAAGGAGACGTTTGTCACATTACCACAACAAAATTCACTGTATTGTATTATGGTTTTATTTGATAGACCATACATATAGACTTTATACTTCATATTTCTGAAGAGGAAGGAAATTTATGCATTTTTTAAAAATGCATCTGAAAAGTGTGGCGTGTGCATGTCAATACTTTATAGAACCACATCAAGGACCAATTAAACCAGCAGGTTTTCCACTACCCAGATCTACGCATCTAGAGAGCATTTAGCAAAGTGCACAAATGATTAGTCAAAAATTTTAGTTATGCCATACTTTTCCCATTCTCAAATATGTTGGACGACAAAGCAATCAGTGCAATGCTCAAAGTTTTTGATGTTGTTTCAGAACCTTACCTAATAATAAAAAAATATTTATAAATAAAAACATAATATGAAAAAATGAGAATAATGAGTGACATATAAGCAACTTATAGAACGATAAGATTGTAAATAATATAGGACATAAAATAACAGGGATTATGTGACATTAACACTACTATAAATTATCATTTGTGTCTTTATTTCTATGTTTATAGCCAATTCTGGCAGGATCTGTTCTAGATATGAGGTCAGTAAATAAAAAAATTTAAAGATGAAATTTTACTCCAAAACCTCAAAAACTACAACGTGCCACAGAAACAGCCAGAGTCAGTTTTCATTATTTCCAATGCAGGACACCTGGTAAATTAGCGTATTATATTATTTAGCAAGCGTTTATGGGGGGAAACTGTCGTACGAGTTGTAAAAATCCAGTTAAAACGATTTTCCCCTACCTTCGTTTCTAGATATTGTCTTATACATTACCTTCTTTTAAATTCAGTTTGGTGCTTTATTTTTGTTTGTTTTTACGTAAAACTTAGTTACAAAGAGCCTGTAAATGTAAGCGATGCTACGTGTGTTTTATTAAACGAAGCAGCTTTTTAAGCAAGCAGGCAAACAAGCCGACTGTTTCATACTTCGTCCCACATAAATGATGCTAGTCAGGCTAAGTAGGCAGTGCTACCATTTTATTTATTTATTTACCTGCGACACTTCCGTCTCTCGGTCTTCTTCTATTCTGCTCTATAAAACGTCTTTCTGTCCCACAGTGTTAATGTCTTTAGTTCTGCTGCGTTGCTTGCTTTGCAATTTACTCAAACTAGCACATGGGAGCAGCCATGACTCGAGTGACAGTACGGATGCCTGTGCGGCTCAAAGAGAAGGTCTGAACCGTTGGGTTGCTCCGTTGGTATGGCAAGTCAATTTACCATATAATAGAATATTGAAATAAGTATTCAAACACAGAGAAACGCCTTCTTTCCATCCACATTCCATCTTGCATGTACCTCAAAGATCATTCTCTCTAAACAAATAATGTTACTTGTCATTGCTGTTTATATTTAAAATATAATTCTTAAATGCAGTAACTTTTTTTCAGTTTCTTTTATCCCATTGTTGTAAGTCAAAGCTTTTAGTTTAGGATGATAATTCCTCATGTGGAGTTGATGTTATGCCTAAATATAACTACAATGAAATAACATTTTTATGGTAAGGATTCAATTGTACCTGTTGTGTCATAAATAATATATTAGTGTCATACAATATTCATGCATACTTTTTTCACATTTTGACACACTTTCACAGCAAATTACAATGCATTTTCCTGGGACTTTCTGTTATAAACTAACTAAAGGTACACCACAATTGTGACATTGAAGAAAAATAGTTTCTAAAATGTTTCACACGTAAAAAAATCTGAGGAGTGGCATTCATTCAGATGCAGCCCCATTTACATTGTTATCCCTAAATAACCTTGACTTCCACCAACTGGAACAGTGGAATAGCTTAGATCAAGGCATATCCATCTACAAATAAGCAGTCAATTAAGGAAATCTGCAGCAAGACATTAAAAACTGAAAAACATAAAGCAGTAGTAGAAAAAATATAATTTTTCCTAAGAGAAATATAAGTTTGGGACATTGGATAACTATGAACATTTGGATCTTAAATATCTGTAACACATATTAAGTGGAGTGTTTAAACCTCAAAATGAAAAACGTAGTATTTTGATAATTTTGGGTACATTTAATTTCACGTGACTTGGCCGACATTAAATGCTACAACGGTCTGCCAAAGTTCCTCCACACAGGGGCTGCCAATAGAGCCGCAGAGAAACTGTATGACGTATAAAAAAATAGAGTGAGAGGGTTCATCAGTCAGCAGGAATCTGGCCTACTTTTCGCCCAGTAAACATGCATAAAACACGTCAGTCTCATGAATAATAATTTAATATCCTCGTGCCTGCAGTTAGCGGCGCATTTTAATGAAAGGCTAAACATAGCCTATAGAATCACCTCGATTTCCCCAGATTGAGGAAGTACGGGGCTGAGAATATCTCTGCAGAAAGAAGATAAGGCCACTGCATTCCATAAATGTATTGTGTTACGGCGTGACAGTGATGCCTTTTTATTGGACAAGTCGCCTGAACAAAATTCAATTTCGCTGCCTCTTGCCTGCTGAGTCCATGCTCTTTCAGTGCCCACAGAGAAATGACTAACTGTTTTGCTAATGCGTTTCTTAATAACTGTACACATTTAGCTATTTCTCTCGTGTGTCGTTAGAGCATGACAAAACAGTCTGAATAAAATGAAACAAAGCAGAAAATGCAGAAAATAAAACTTCCTGTAATCTCCAACTTTCCAGCAGACAGCTGAGGTTTTCAGTGAAGCTCAGTGTTGTCTGGAACTGTAACACCTTCTGTCACAACGTAGAATCCATCCAACAGAGAGCAACCGCAGAGAAATAGTGAAATGTCCTGCCAACACAACATTTCACTATGGTGGCACATTTTTTGTGTTGTTTTTGTACCTTATTTAACCTTTTAGAATTGGAGAGCTAAAAATTTGGTTTTGACCTACAAAAACACATTCCTCCACGAGGATTTTAAAAGATTTCAACCAGGTCTAGATGTTTTCTTAGTAAGAAAAGACTTCTGTCGTTCAGTTACACCCATTTGTTCAGACGTATGAAGAATACAGGAAACACTTTTGTCTCATTTAGAAAACAAACTCCTGCACTTTCTCCTGTGAGCTTTGTCTCCTTTTTCATATTTTGTATCAGTTATAGCAAACATTACGGTTTTAGTTTCATCCCAGTGTTACCTCACCTTGTCCAATAATGTGCCTTTACGCAATGTACTTTCTCTTGACAAATAAAAAAAAAAATTCTGTTTTACCTCACAAAGATAAAACATTTTAATCAGAGTGTAGACTTCTTGTCGACATCCCTCGACGTCTTAAAGTGAAAAAAAAGCCCCTCAACATTCTGCTTCCACCACCATATCTGAAAGTTCTTAAAAGTTTTCTTATTTGCAAACTTCTTCTTTGTGGCAAACAGCTCAGTCTAGGTTTCCTCTGACCTTGAAAGCGTTCTCCAGGGAGAGGTTTGGCCACGGTTCCTGGGTCGCCATTGAACCTCATAACCCATTTCCTTTCCCCTGACGGACAACACCTTCAATCGTCTTCCAGGCAGATCGGCGGCACATCTGCATTCTCAGAATCAGAACCAGACATGGAGAAGCGGCGTTCCGTTTTTATGCTCCTCTAGAATCAGGAACAAGCATCCAGAAAACTGCAAAACTGCCGAAACATTGAGCACCTTGTAAAGCAAGGCAAAAAAAAAGAAAAGAAAAAAAAAGCCACCTGTTGTGAGTTACATTTGATTCGTGATAACTGGAACATTGATCAGAGTATTTTTTTTAGGTATATTTTCTTGATGATGGCATCTGACAAAATGTAATGTTTGTTGCTTGTGTTATGATTTCATGGTGTAACCACGTTAAGCTGCCTTGTTGCTGAAATGTGCTATAAACTTGACATCCGAAAACCTTCCACGCAGTTTTTGTGTCTGCTTGTTAAAACTGTAAATCTACAATTCTTCTTCTGACATATTTTGAGTTTTGCTGACTTTCCCCATAGTTGCTGCCAAGCAAATCATTGTCATCCTGACAAACGGAATCTGAGGACATATACATCTACAAATAAGGGACTCGGTAACCCGTCCGTGATTTGCATCACCTGCCTTCATACTGTATACGCCTCTCCACACAAACCGGAACATCTGGATGGGGGCGCTGTGACAATGGATGCCCAGAGAGCGTGGCGCTATACATCTGACACAGGAGAATTATAGAGTTAATAGTATTTGGCATGACAGGGAGAGAGAGCGGGGAGCGCAGTGCCGTTCCTGAGTGCAGTCTTATCCTGTTTAGTATTCACTGTGCGCAGCGCCTGGAGGCCCTGGAGGGGCTTCACCTGCCCGGAGTCTAGACGCTCTGTTTCACGCAACTGAGAGGACAGCGGGGCATCGAACCTGCGGCCCCCCGGCTTTCACCGTCCTTTGGCTGGGCTAGGGCACGAGGGAGTCGCTTCCACCGGCAGAAGACAAAAGTGAGTGTGCGGGGCTTGAGTGCGTGGACTGGTGGTGGGTGGGGCTCAGACAGTCGGGTCGGCTGGGGACGCTCGCGGCACGTCTTACCTGCTTCCTGCGACGCCTTTGGGCTCCTATCGGTCATCCTTTTAAAAGTAATCAGATTACTTTACTTATGTGCGGTTTGCTGATGCTGCCGACCTTCCCGCCAAATTTAAATTTTATATATATATATATATATATATGCGCTTTGATTTATTTTTAGATTGTCCCTTTATTACCACATGATGAGCACATTTCTTATTATCTGACAATAAGACACTAATGACGCGCGTCGATAACCTCCGTTGTCATCTCAAGCCGGGTTAATGACAGGAAGTAGTTAACTCACCGAGATAATTCCAAGTCATTGATTGCTGGAAGTAAAGGTGGCATATATCAGTTCATTACAATGGCTCCATTGGCAAAACAGTAGCGACAGCATCCCCCCTATCTGTCCGTCTACCTGTCTATCTATCAGGTCGATCAGTGGCTCTGTGATCAGTCTGCAACCCCTGGGATGGATGGGAGGGTAAAAAAAAAAATAAAAAAATCCCCGCTTTGCTCCTCTCTGTTCCCCCCTCCTCGATAGTTCTGAGCTCCAATCCTCGCCTGCATGCATGCATGTGTGTGTGTGTGTGTGTGCATGAATGGTGTGCTGCTGCTGGTTCACAGCATACAGTCAAAGTGAATGACTGTCTGTGGCGAGGCAGAGGGAGGGAGAAACTAGACCGCTTCTTCTTCTTCTTGTGCGCCGCTCCTCCATTCGGAAGAAATTCCAGCAGAATCCAGCGGAGGGGTAAGTTGAAAGGTTCGGATCAACTCGCACCCCGGGCGGTTCGGACTCATCAGCCGGTGCGGGACGGAGACGTCTTGTCCCGTTCCAGCACTGTGTTTTTGTAGGGGGTGGGGAGGTGTCCTCATGAATTTGGATGAACAGGGAGGTATGGTGTGCTGCTAAAGTGAAGGTGAAGCTATTGTGAGTCTTTTTTTGTTGTTGTGGTTTTGTTCTGAATTGGATGGTAAAGTTGTGGTAACTGTTGTGGGGGGATGGGCACATGGGGCCAGACCAAACTTTAACCACTTCACACCGGCTTCATACTTTTGTCGCGCTGCACACCCCCCCCCCCCCTCCTTCAGTGGCGCCACCAAGAGCTGGGTGAGAGGGGGACAATGATCATCCCCAAAAAATTCTGTATAATATAATATAATATAATATAATATAATATAATGTGAATGATTTTAAAATAGGAGGGGTCAAATGTTTATAGCTTACAAGATTTATTTATATTTCTATGTTTTCTTTGTCGGGCCCTATTTTTAGATATATGCCACTTTCTCTGGGACTGCTCTCAAATTTCACAAGGTCAATACCTGCTTGATGTCTCACCATATGCCATAAATTATGGCAAAATTTATTAGGGATGCACAATATATTGGTATCTATATCAGTATCGCCCGATGTTAGTCATTTTTTTTTAAGATACTGGTGCTGGTTTGATAAGTAAAACTTGGCCAATTAACAAGCAATGTTTATTTCCATCTTGTTGCCAAGAATGGTTATCAGCCATAACATCAATTTTACGTGTAAAAAGCACAGATTTTCAGTTGGTCAAGATATGAAAAATCAAGCATAATATAGTAGATTCATAATTAAGCTTGAGTCAGTGGACAAAAGTTTTGTGCAGGACATTTCATTGCTTTATCCGCTACCCACGGCTTGAGCTGAGTGTATATTTTGTATCCTATTTTACCAATCACCTGAAGTCATCATGCACCCAGGTACCTCCACACCCCATCTCCAGCAGTCATCCTGTGATGGATGAGATGCCAGGCCATCATAGGGCAGCACACAGGACAGAAACTCATACCTGCAGGCAGCTTACCGAGGCCAATTAACCTAAGAGTCATGTTTTGAACTGTGGGAGGAAGCCGGAGTACCTGGAGAGAACCCACCAGTGGTGCCCCCAAGGGGGGTTAAAGGGTTTATGGCCCCTTCCAGGAAAAAATGTTTGCCACTGAGAAATAAATGTAATACACAATAAATAAATTCATATCTATAAAATTTAAAATAGATTAACAATTGTTAATATAATAAATATATCTTAATTTTTTTTTTGTTTAGCTGTGCACTCATAAAATCTTTACTGGCCTGGTTTGCCCACCCATACGAAAATTTTTGGAACCCACCCGTTGATGGAGAGAAATCCATGAAAGACCACAGACTGGGATTCAAAGCCAAGACCTTCTACTTTGAGTGAAATGACTACACTGCTACCAACTGCACCATGCAGCCCATTCCCAAGATTCAATCAAAGGTTGTTGTTGTTTTTTTTTGTTGTTGTTGTATTATTATAAGAGGCCCCCCGTGTAGCCACCCCTCTTACAAAATCTCTTGTGGCGCCCCTGCTCTCCTTTCTTTCGTCGGTTTGTGGCTCAATGAGTTCCCGGCTCATCTTTCTCCCGCATTCCTGAACTTCCTCAAAAGCAACCTTGTCTCTTCGGGTCGTCAAGCTGCAAGTGCAAACCGCTGCCAGTCGCCTAAAATCACAAAGTACAGTGAATAAACCAGCTAAGTTTAGTTTTTCTTTTCTTCCAGCCATTCTCGTATCCATTTCTCTCCCCTCCTCTCTGCTCTGTTCTCCTCTCGCCATGCCGCGGATCCATCCCTCTGTCTCGCCCACAGTTGCAGCGTATTTGTGTCCCGGGATGACCTGTTGATGTCGGTTAAAGATGGAGTGCCAAGATCACCCGCTATAAACTCCTCCCCGGTTAAAAAAAAAAAAGAAGAAGAAGAAGAAAGAAAAAAAAATAGTCTGGAAATTGGAGTTCTGCCCAGTATCGCTTCTGTGGTTGGCCGAGATTGCTTATTATAAATAATTTAATTCAAGCAAGACATCATAAGCGACATCTTGGACGGGACTAGCTCGTCTCCGAACCGGATCGGTAGCTGCTCCGCTGTACCGCCGGGAGGAGAAGGACATCGCACGGTGCTGCTGGCACGGAGACGCGGGGAGAACACCGACCCCCTCGACGGTTTTGAGGAATTTTTTTAATGTGCCCCCAGACGACAAAAAGAGAGAAATATTTCACTGCATTCTAAGTGAAGTTGGAGCTTGAGCTGACATTTAAAATAAAAGGGAGGAAAAAAAAAGCTATATTTTGAATCCTTTCTCCGCTGCTGCCCCCTCCTCCTCCCGCTGAACACGGCCGGTCTCTCACACCGGCCCGGGCCAACCGAGCACTCCCAAATCCTACCGGGCATCGAGGCTGGCACACAGCGGGGGCACCGACAGCTTTCTGGCCGCTCCGACTTGCCCTGCTTCACCGCTGGTAGCGGGACTCAGCCTGCAAGGTGTCTGCCGGCGAGACTCTGCTAGACTTTCACGTAAGATGAATTAATGAATAACTGATGTGCATAAATGATAAGTCGTCTCTGAAGTTTGAGCGGTGGGGGTGCTCAGGGGGAGGCTACACTGTAGCCACATTGTGCTGCTTATCTCAGTCCTGCCCTCAGTGTCGGCGAATGCAGCACTTGCCGCTACAAACGTCTTCAAACAAGGAAGCGAATTTTATTTTTGCGTGATTAACGGACACGTTTGCTACTTTTAACGTGAGAGACAGCTTCTTTCTTCTGACCAGTGTTAGCTTTAGCTTTAGCCTGCTACTTGCTAACTGGATACCTTTTAACCTCCCAAAAGTAGTAAACTCACTGGTTTGGCTGAGATTGATGCTCATATCAAAAGTCTAGTAATTACGACGTTCCAGCAGAAACAGCGCATTATCTGGACACACTTTTAATATTTGCTTGCAGCACACTGAGGGGCTGCATGTGGGTGGTTTTGCATAAAGTGCTAAAAAGACACTTTTTAGCACATAGGGACACACACAGAGACAGAGAAAAAGCTACACACAGTAGAGCATTGAGCCAGAGCATGTAATGGGGCACATGTTAACTGCGGGGCAAGGGTCAAGTGTTTTGAATTAACTCTCCTTTATGTTTCCTGCAAGTTGTTGTGACCTTTCTGACCTGTATGGGGGGAGAAGTTGGTGCGTGTAGGATATCCATACATCCGTGCCCCTGTGTATGTTGAAATGAAATTAGTCAAGCAGCATGGATGTGGGAAAAACAAAACAAAACAAAAAAACGTATCCTTGCAAATAAACAAAATGCACCACATCGCTTTAAAAATGAAGCATAAACGTTGTTGATTTTTATTGTGAGGGATCGTGCTGATGAACTAAATTTTAATGAGTTATGGGTGTCAACCCTGCCCCCTTCAAATTTCAGCCATGACTCATATCATTCCTATGGTTTCCTTTTAATGAGGTTTTTCTTGCCACTAATTGCTTATGGATATTTGCTTTATGTCCACTTGCAACGCTTCTGTTTATTTAGCTCAGAAAAAATAAAAAATGGGGAAGCAATCCACTTATGTTTAGATGATGTCCAATATCAGCATTTGGATGCCAGTGTGATTAACTCCATCTGACCTTCTGACCACATTTAGACTTCTTTAATTGGACGTCTGTTCGGCTTTCGCTTTCAGCCACAGTTTCATACGTTTTAGACGGGAGACGGTGTCGCTGTTCTGTGATTTTTTCCTTTTTTTTTTTCTTTTTTTTTAAAAACAAAAATTTGCTCAGTAGGCATTTGCTGTGCACACCAAAGGCACATTTGGTTGGAGGGGAAAGAAAAGAAAAACAATCACTGTCATGGCACTCTTAATTTCCACACTATGCTCTCATAATAGGTAATGCTCATTTAAAACTATAGTTGGCAAGCTTCAAGCAGCAGCTGTCTGCAGACTGCTTACAAGAGCCAATAGCTCAACTATTAAACATGGTCATATTATTAGCCTGATCCACCAAAAATAACAGTAAATAAATGCAACAGATAAACGTCTAATTTTACTAATAAATCTATAATATTTTAAAAGCGGTAAGAAAAACAGCTTTTTTTGCAGTTTTTATTGCACTT